AATACAAATCAATTATAATACGGGTATACACTATATATGAATTAATATATATTATTCATATTTACACGAATATATAAGTTAACTTCACGTACATCAAGATTTTTGTAATTGATATTTTCATCATTGAACAAATTCTAACAATCTCCTCTTACCTAGTCCACGAGGCTTATGGATAATTAAATATTTCATCTTCAATTTTCACGTTTATTAATGCTCCATCTACTAATTGATGTTTTCCATATTGAAGAAGCATATGCATACTAAATTTCGCAAGTGAAATTTGGCTAATCTCAATATCTTAATTCTGTTACTTACAAAATTTAAGTGTATTCATATAAAATCAAATAATAATAACCAAAAAACTGAATTATTAAGTTAGAATATGTACTATCGGAGGAGATGATTGGTTAAAAGCTTCATTGACAAATACACTACCGATAAATAATTGACCTATTATGTTAGTTGCTACAGTTGCTAGTCATGCCTCTAATTCAGCAATTCGTAAATTTTACTGAACTATTATAAATCTCAATTTAATAGTCTTGGATGTGTGAGGTTTAGGTTTTGTTTTGAAATAATTTATTGAATAAACAAAGCTCCAAACACCCTTAACACGGCCAAATCTGTCTTTAAAACCAAAACCCAAGGTTAGCACATTAACGTTATCACCAATTTCAATTTTATCGTATATGCAACCCATAGCTAGGTCATCCTAAAGCACAAAATGCTTATGTAAGTCAATATGATATGATATATTAACATACACAAATGGGGAAGTAGTAAACGAGATATATATGAACTTACCATCTTCTTAACCATTTTTCAATTGATTTATCAATATACTCTCCAGTTCTTTATGCATGTTTTTTTTTTTTCAAATATCCCATGTTGATATTTTGTTACTTGATCAAAATATTTTCTGTAACTATATGAAAATATAGGTTTACAACTAGAATGTAAATGAATTTCAAATTCCCTAACCAAGTGTATAATGCATACTAAAAAAAACTTACAAGTTAATACTTTACATTTACATGCCTATTTTTTTATGCTTGATGGTATACTTTTTTAGGCATTTATTTTTTGTTGAGCTTCTTTTATTTTTCTGACAAAATAGGTTAAGAATTATTGCATATTTAGAACACAAGAAACAAACAATTTCAATAAAAATTATTCATCAATAATTTTCTACAAAAAAAAATTGTTATGCATACACTGAATTTTTTTGATAACCTAGCTAAAGCAAATTTCGTTCATTTTACATCACTAATTACATATGAATATGTGGCTGAGGGATAAGCCAAAAGTTCATAATTATCAGCATTAAGTAATATATATTTTGTAGTTAACTTGCCTTTGAAGTCTTTAAATTTTAAACCAACAGATTGTAACACAATTTTTTTATACTCAGATGGTACATCTAAGCATTCCTATAAAAATAAAATAATACATTGGAAACAAGGTAGTATAATTGCATTCCATAAACAATAGACATCAACTAAGCAATAACTTCAATTTTATTAATATAACTTACCATAATCAATTCTTAAATATGGTTATTTTTCTTTGCTAAAACGTTCTTCCAATTGTTGTAATTAAAGGATATCGTCTCTCGGATGAGACATCCAATATGACTACCCATCTTTAACCCACCACTTAAAACAAGCTGGCCATTAACATTGAATTCAATATGTATTTTTTTTCTAGTTGCTTGAAGCAACTTAGATCATCACCTAGCTTTTTTTTTTTTCAAACATTATGTGTCAATCAAATGTTCTTCTTCATATTCAATTAAAGTAGACATGTTTTCTTCAGAATCCATTATATCAGTTTATCTCTACAAATAAATATGGAACGAGAAAAAGACAAATAAAATAAAAAATCCTAATACCCTATTATTTAGTTTGTTTCATAAAAAAAGAATAATGAGAAATGATTTGTTACCTAAATCAACAGGGATGGCAACAACAATGCTGATGGCAAGGGCAAGGGTAAAGATGGCTATAATGATTCGATGACGTAAGTTTTAGGATATAAAGAATATTGAAAGATGTCAAAAGACTCGTATACAGATTTGAAAAAAAAATTTATAAAGAATAACAAACATTGTGTTTATCATTTGATAAACGTCATGATTGTTAAATCAAATTTTTTATTATTTGTCAAACATTGCATTTCTAATGGCAGAAACGTCGTGTTTATACATAGACTACGTTTGTAGTTTCAAAACGTTGTGCTTGTTTAATTGTTAAATACTGCATTTATAATTCCACAAATGTCGTGTTTCATTAAAAGACTACATTTATAAAATCAAAACATGGTGCTTATATGCTTGTTTATAAACCAAAACATAGTACTTAGTTCTTTATCAAACATTATGTTTACAGTAATGAAACGTCGTGTTTGTTATATATTACAGCGTTTATATAACAAAAATGTCATGCTTGTTATAATGAATTTTTTTTATTTGTCAAAGACTATGTTTATTGTGAAAAAAACTACGTCTTTGAACCTCATTATATATATTTTTGTTCATAATATAGCATCTTATTTTTAACATAATGAAAAATGAAAACCTTCTTTATTTTTGTTGTTTAATGGTTGTCACATATTTAATTTTAATAATATAATTGGTAGTTAATATGTTTGTCACTTGTTATTCACATGTAATGAAGGGCATTATAGTAAAAACTTTTATTACGTAATCTAAGATTCTACAAACCAAACACAAAAACTAATATTCCTATAATAGGAAAAAAAAAAACCCCTTCATAGGAATCGACACTTCCCTAGAGATCAATTTCCCTTTCGAAATCTAAGATTCAGTAAACTAAAACCCCCTAAAAGTGATTTGTCCAAATATTTAATTTGTCAAAACTAGTAATGGGTTATTTAGCTCTTCATCCTTCCATGTTTCTTTGGTCATTAAAATAGACCTAGACAGATATGGTTATTTTAATAATAATCCTTCAGTTCATGAGACTTTCGATTAAACTCCTATATGTATATATATATTAAACCATGGTATAACATTCTACTCACCTTATAAAAAGTTTTCGTCCTTGAAACTTGATTTACCTTTTATCTTATTCTTTCATTTTTCAAATTATTTCTCTTGCCACCTCAACTATCTAGTTTACATAATGTGTTATATATCTATGTTAAGAGAATATGATCTTGATCTAGACAGTTTAATTTAATATGAATATTTAAAAATTCAAGATGACATATAAACTTTAACATATAAAAAGTATCTTTTTAGAATGGTTGATTGAAAAGAATATATTTATATTTTGAGACAAAATGATTATTTTTGTAAAAGTTCAATGAAAAAATCATGTGGTAAAAGAAATAATTTAAGAAATAGAAAAATATGATATAAAAATAAAGTAAGTTTCAAGAACGAAACTTTTTATAAGGTGGGTAGAATATAATACCCCACTTTCTATATATATATATATATATATATATATATATATATATATATCTAGAATAACCACATATGTCTTGGACTATTTAATAAAAGAAGAAACATGGAAAGATCAAGGGCTAAATAACCCATTACTAATTTTCACATATTAAATCTTTGGATAAATCACTTTCAATAAAACCCTATTATTCTCTCCTTATGCAAAAAATAAAAAGATGGTTGGAAAAATTGAAGCAGATTCAAGATAGAAAATCAAGAACCAAGTTTACAAGGGGATTTACCTTCCAAAAGTAAGTAAAAGATCATCTTTCAATTTGGGGAAAAATTATGTTTAATTTTTTGTCTTTATCATAGAGAAAACCTAGGGTTTTGTAAATCTCTCATAGATTCTTCTTGGTTGTTGATGTTAAAGTGTTCGATTGAGTTTATTTGTGGAGGTTGCTGATGTTAGAGTCTTTGATTTAGTTTATTTGTTAAAATCCGGATCCAACTTGTAAAATATTATTCATTTTAACTCGAAAATTTTTTAATTTTATTCTACAAAAAATGCTTCACAAGTGGATTTAAATCTTTATAAATATATATATATATATCATATCATATCATATTTTCACATTTTTCCAGAGATCAAAGGTGTTATAGCATCATCCCTTTTGTTATTCAATGAAAAGTTTTCTACTTTTTGAAAATTTGATAAAGAGTCAATGTCATATTGGATGCTTTGCCATGTGACTATAATTAAGATTCAAATTGCAATAACACTCTCTCTATCTTTGAAAGAAAAAGAATGTGTGATCATTTTTTTTATAAAGGAGATTGCAGATTGAAAACAAAAAAAAAAAAAAAAATTATAAATATTGAGACATCTCTACTGAATGTTAATTCTTAAGGTAATTAAATGAACCAACTGTATTAAATCTCAAATTCATGTTGTGACCACATTTGAATAAAGTTTACATGGTCATATTGGCATAATATTACTAGGAATTTGTTGATTGTTCCTTGTATAATCTACCCATTCAAGACTTTTGAAAAAAAAAATTGTTGTAACATACATTCTTATCGGAATAACTTTAACAACGATTAGAGCACAAGTTTGAACTCCTTTTTGTTTTGTCCGAAATAGATTGTTTTTTATAGATATATTCTTCACGTTTTAGGTCCTAAAGTTAGGGGGTAAAAATAATTATACCAATTACATCGCGAATGATCAGATTCTATGCTTCAAGTTTTGTTATGGACATTGAAGTCTTAGGGGGAAAGAAAATTATAGTTATCCACTATTTGGTCGGATTTTGCTGTTATAACACAATTAATAGAATTTAAAAATAAATTAATTAATTAAAAAAAAAAACTCACAATGCAACCCAACTTTCTGAACAAGCCTACAGCCAAAATGGAATCCAGATTTCTTTTGTTTCTTTTATTAAAAGGAATATACATGATGGATAAACAAGACTATGGCAATTATGTTATCACTAGAATAAAATCCCGCGTTTTACTGAGGGAGTTCAATAAAGATACTAAACATTTATAAGCATTTAAACATTGAACATTTATAAACGTTCTGCGATTGGATCACAACAAATATATAAAGTTTTGTACAGACTAATTATGATCTTTCAAAAGAAAGCTGTACGAAAGTGTAAAGCTTTCCATCAGCAACAACTTAATACAAGAAAAAACACCTAACAGCTCAAGACAAAAAGAAATACCTACCAGCAACTTACACACAGAAAACCATCTAAATAAGGTTTAAAGAAGGAATCCTAAATGGGGTTTAAAACCACATCCCATTATGATTATGACAGAGAAATTCCATCTTTTTTCTTATTTTTTTGCTGTTGAAAGACTTTGTTGAACCATTAAGCTTTGTAGGTTTCTTAATGGGCAATGTCTTCTTATTTTTCTTTGTTGTATTGTGCTTCTCAACCCACAAACAACTTTCTTAGTGGATGTATCAATCTTTTTAGACCATTTTCACAAAAAAAAAAAGGGTGTCCAATGATTTCAACTTCTATAACTAGCTATACTCATCTCAACATCACCCTTTACAAATATCTTTTGTATTTTTATCAATCCACCTCCCATTATCATGGTTAGTGTGCTCTTAACCAGTTGATCTCAATCATGATTTCTCATCCTAATTGATTTCGATTCATTTAAAGACTAAATTATGAGTCAATCTAAAAAAAAGTAATAAGTATTTCATTAAAAGAACAAATGACAGCGTAGAAAATTGCTAAGAAGGATTTTGATAATGCCTCTCCTAAGTGAGGAATTCTTTTTGGATAATCCAAGTTAAAACCCAACTTTTCTTGATGATCAGTTGCGAGTCAGAAATTCATAAAGTTCATACCATATGAATTATCAAAATCAAACTTGAAAATTTCCCTGTCAAATAAATTATTCTCCATGGGAGTTGCAGAAGCAAAATCAATTCCCTGAAATATTCCCTTGCTCAAGGACTTCCATTACTCTGACTAGCTTTCCATCTAGACCTTCCTTGATTAAATCATACTCCACGTGTTCAACCATGTCTACCTACAATCTGTACGATAAGCCTTTGGTATTCTGGACTATTCCCACACACTAATGCCTAACTTCCATGATAAGGTTTACAAACCATAAACGTGGCAATGCACCACAGAAACTATTTTGCTATAAAAATGGTTAGAAATTGATTAATAACCATACCATGCATCAGTCGCAAACCCTCCCTAACTGGTTGAGCATTCTCATTAGCAGTTGGAGCGATTTTACTTTGGATACAATTGTCTCAAAAATATCCCAACAGTTCCTGCAGTGGTGCTGAAAAGAAATGAAAAAAGAGCATTAAACTTAAACGAGAAAGAAAGGCAAGTAGAGAGCTCTTTTCATAAACAAAGGGAATGATGTACCTTGTACACAAAAGCCCTAAAATTAGTTCCATATCTAATGCACTTTGAAACAGCTTCATCAAGGATCTAACAAAAAAATAAGAGCTTTTTAAATTTGCTTTTATTTGAACTGCAATTTGCAGGTGAAAGAAAAAAAAAACTCTTCCTTATGACTAATTTTTACCCAATGATCTTTCTCCTTAATGCTAGGCGTTATCTAGTTCATCCAAACAGCAAATCCTCCTTTTTTTTTCTTTCTATAGGTTTTTTTTATAAGCTTAGATTTTATTATCCAAAAGAAGTAGAGTATAGCCTACTACAAAGAGGATTAGAATAATTCAATTTGATTTTTTTTCTGAATCATTCAATGAATATTGTCATTTTCAGTTTTTTCATAACAACACATTCTGAAAAGACAAATAAAAGGAAACGTATGAACAAACACACAGAAAATTAGAAGACCATCTTCTGAAGTAAAACCCAGAGAAATTAGTTGTAGCTAATGACATCTCCAATCATTCGAAACCCATGAAAAACATCACAAAATCATGTGTTTCACCCCATATGACTACAAATAACATCGAGTTGGAGACATAGCTTAGCACATACAACACATAAAAAAAGTTGTTCTTTTCAAGTTTTCAAGACTCCGGTAATGGAAAGCTCTCAAGATTTGCAATTTTAATGACATTCTTCGTAATAAAAATAATTACTAAAAAGAAATAAAATAAAAACCCAAATTGTTGTCTTTTCTTAATCACCTTTGTTAATCATTCAATAATCATAGCTAATTCAAACACCAAATCAAGAATTTTAATTAAAAAATTAAAAGTAAAACCCTAACTGAAATTAACATATTTTACAAAAATACCTATCATTTTATACCAGAAGTAATTAGAAAAAAAACTAACCTCGCATTGGTGAGCATTGCTGCGGCTGAGCCACTGAAGAAGGCAATCCAGGTGGACAAACTTGTTGCTGCCACTACAAACGTATACCTCTTCTCTGCAGGGGTATCGAAGTGGATTCTTTGCATCTCCCTGGTTCCTGTAGATCCTACAAACATCTTCTCTTCTTTTTTCTCCATCTCCGCATCATACTTCACCTCCATCCCATCAACACTGATGACACCATTGATGGCATCACTTTTTCTTCCTTCTCTGACAATGTGTATGATGTTCTGTGGAGGAAATAAGGTTTTATTGTTTTTGTAAATAGATATATTCATTTCTTCCTTAAATTATCTTCTAATTATTTTTTATGACACTGATGACATGGCTAACAATCTTAAGTGCTCTGGAAGATAAGTCCCATTAGCCACTGGCTCAAAGACTTCAGTTTTTGTTTCTTCTTCACCCATAAGCAATCCAATTCACAGCAACACTTCTTTTCCTTGCCTTCCAAAATTGTAGAATGGAATAACAAAAAGGTAGTAGAAACCAAGTAAAATATTTATAACAATAATAAAATAAAACAGTTAACTGAACTCAAGACAAAAGAACCATTAAACTATCACTACCAGTCAGCAACAAACGCCATACCCCCCCACAAAAAAAAAAAAAAAAAAAAAAAACATGGAAATTTTTTCTATGAGAATTTAAATAATACTGAATACATTTGGAAACAATTGGGCATTGGCTCATTAAACATTTCCAAAATTCAAGGCCATACTAATTTTGTATGCGAATGTTCTGACACAATCTTTTCACATAACAAAAGAAATCTTTCACAACTTAGGCCATATTAATTTCCAAAGTTCCATAACCAACTATTTTTCTCCACCCATGCTAACATGACGGTTTTCTTTATATCTGAGATACACAAATGATGTTAGGAAAGCAATTGATTAATCCAATGTTCATCTGAAACCAACCAAATCACATCTTACTAATAAGAGAAAATCTACCATTATGAAAATCAACTTCAATTTAATGATTCTTTATCAGATTTGGACAAAAGGGGAGATAAATATAAATTAAAACAGCACCTGAAGAAGGGCAGTCATAAATATGTGGAATGCTTGTGTGTTCTGGTTTATCAGAATACATATCCAGCCAAAGAAGTTAATAACACCTTGCATCTGCAATCAGTGAAGAAAGCAATTATCACTTCGACACGGTGAAAGAATGCAGATTGGGAAAGCAAAATTTACACAAAAAATTTATAAAACCATGTCATGCAACAACTTGCCCCAAATCTGAAAGGATTGTGACTGACCTTTTTTGCAGGACATAGGATCGATGCATCATGAACCATCAACAGCATGAGTTCAATTAGCATCGAAACCCATACCAATTGGGATGCCAGATTGGGACTGATTTTTTGAACCCGTTCAAGCCACCGCTGGTATTCGATTTCCCTTCTCGTTTCTTTTCCATTTTTCTTTTATTTTTCCGACCGTCTCCCTCCACCACCGTCAAAACGCATACCCAGTAGGATGCATGCACCCAGTCGAGACTGATCTTTTGGTCTCCAGAATACTCAGAATACTCCAATTTACCAAGTGAAAGGCTTGGACTATTCGGGCAAAATTTTGGTCGACGAAAAAGGAAGGGAGAAGAGAAGAGAAGAGAAGAAAGAAGGGAGAGGCAAGAAGAGTGGAGGGGTTAGCCAAACCCAGGCTCATTTCTACGAAGCTTCCGGAAACGAAAGGTACCCAAAATTATCCTCAATTTATTTATTTTTACATTACTGGGCTATCCCCTTCAACACAAATAGGGGACAACTTTTAGAGTATAGATTCGGAGATCATGATTTCCAGCATTATACATCATCGACAAACTATAGATTGATTCAGGCTAAACTATATGAAACTTTTAAAGATTAAAAAGGCATGAACAGCAGCTAGCTGTATAATCAAATGGCAGGCCTAAAATGGAAGTCATGAAGCAAAATGAAGCACAGCTATCTGACCAAGGAGCTCGATTTTAACACCATCATGTCCAACCTTCTTCCCATGTATTGGTTCCATAATTACCTCAAAGCTTTACCAACGCTGAACGAATCCGTTGTGCGTGCGGGCGGTAGAGGCAACTGACGCTGCCTTCGTCTTGGGCCCTAAATCCAATCCAAGTCACCTTTTCCTTTTTTTTTTTTTTAAGATCAACAAATATTTCATACCCCATGTACGTTTAATAGTTAATAATTAATCATTTTTTATAAAATAAATCATAATTTTAAAATAAAAAAATTATAAATATTAATATTTAAATTTTGTTGAGTTAAATTTTAGATTTAATTAATTATTTTGTTAATTTTATGTAATTAAATTAATATGTTTTAAAAAATATTTAAATATCAATTTTATTTAAGTATTTTAAAAATTATAAATGTTAAATTTTAAATTTATAGAATTAAATTTTAAATTTAATTAATATTTTTATTAATTTTAAATTATGAAATCAAATTAATACATTTTAAAAAAATCTATAAATATTAATTTATCAAAGTATCAGATTAAATCACATCAATCAAATATTTTTTGAACATATGAAATATCTAAAAATAAAATAAAAATAAAGAGAAAGTAATTTTAAATAAAGATAGATATAAATAAAAAAGAAAATATTGGAAAAAAAAGCATTATTCTTTGGCCATAGGAAAAAAAAAAGATTAATTGTACTTTTTATTCATTTGAAAAATGTTACTAGAAAATTAAAAAAAAATAGAGAATGGAAGTAGCTGAGCTGAGCTGAGAGAGAAATGGAGAGCCGGTCCTTTTCTCCTCTGCTCTCTCCTATTTTCCCTCTCCTTTTGCCATCTCTACTTTCCTTTCTACTTTAGGTTTCTCAGCCTTTTTCTCTTTTTTTTTTTTAATTTTTTATAAAAAAATCTCGAAACTTCTTCACTCTTAAACCCAATTTAATCAGCTCTCACACTACCCTTTAAATTTCAAATAAAATGTGGCTTTCTGTAGTTGATTTATTCATGATTTCCTCTTCCAATATCTGATTTGTATTTCTCTTTTCCTTTTTTTATGACTTTCTTTTTTCTCCTTTCTTTTGCTTTTGGTTCCGGAACTCCGTTATAAGCCATTTAGGGTTTGGATTAGCTCTGCAAACTCCACTACTCTTCAACTCATTCAGGTAAATACAGTTTTTAATTTTGAGTTTCGGTACTTATATTTTGATGCATTTGGTGCTCAGTTTGTAGTTTTTCGAATTTGTTTTGCTAAAAAAAGGTGTAGGAAATGTAAATAAAAACTTAGCTTATTGGTAGCGATGCTTCCATAAATCCAATTCGTAGAAAATCAGAGAAAAAAGATTAAGAAAGGAGAATCGGAAAATGTGATTTTCGGAACATATTGTCACTCACTTGATCAAGTTTTTAAAGAATTACACTTAGAATATTTCCGGTGTACCAAAAGAGATAATCAAAATCATCCTCTTATTAATGTTCATAAGCTTATTGTAGATTGGTTATTAAATTTAATTGGTAGAAAGAGTCTACATGGAAATCATGCTACATTAGTAGAGTAGGTTTTAATACTGTTAAAGGTCTTACATATAACTGGAAAGAACGAATAAAAAGGCAGTTATCTCCGGTTAAAATGGATAAATGTAGTATTATCCTAATTGTTATGATCATGGTGGTGAAGAAATCTTTGTATTTTGGTTTTTGTAATAGGATAATAGAGGCAACAAAAAAATGAGTAAGTGTCACTCTGACTTATCATTAGTTGAAGAAGTTAGTAGTAGAGGCAACATGAGAGAAAGCAGTCATATGAAGAAAGGGCCTTGGACATCAGCAGAAGATGCGATTCTGGTGGACTATGTAAAGAAGCATGGTGAGGGGAATTGGAATGCTGTCCAGAAAAACTCAGGACTTTCCCGATGTGGGAAAAGCTGTCGTCTACGTTGGGCAAACCATCTAAGACCGGATTTGAAGAAGGGTGTGTTTACTCCAGAGGAAGAACAGCGTATAATTGAGCTACATGCTAAGCTGGGAAACAAATGGGCACGAATGGCTGCAGAGGTTGGTATTGCTTTTGACAATTTCAATTTGATAGCATATCTTTTAATTTTCAAAATGAGTTTTATGGAATACAGCATTTGCACTATATCAATACAAAATATATGCAATCTCTAATGTTTCTTTTTATATTTGGAAGTGATCTTTCTACTTTAATAAAAAAATATAGTAACATATTATGTCTCCAAGATTTTAGTTTTGCAAAATATTTCAAAGAATCCTTGCATATAATAGATGCTTAGCTATGTATATCTGCATTTGTATGTGTATGTAATCAATATTTTGTTTTTCTGTTTAAGTTGATGTACTTTTCTTGTGCTGCTAATTGCAAACATATTGTAGGTTTTATTCAAGCATTTTTTATGTCATGATAAGCAAGCTCTTCTCGTATTCATGTTCTGTGGATTGCCAGGGATGCTTAGCAATTTAGCATGGAATACTAGTTAGAGAATAGTAAATTTTCCCTGAAAGGAATCATCCTTTTCATGAGCTATATTATTTTTCTTATTGTTGATTCACTTTTATAATCATTTTTTGGTCGGACTTTTATAATCATATTTTTGGCCAGACTTTCATAATCATTTAATCCCTTTATTATCTCTAGTTGCCTGGACGTACTGATAATGAGATAAAGAACTACTGGAATACAAGAATTAAGAGACTGCAACGTGCTGGCTTGCCAATTTACCCTCCTGATGTGTGCTTGCTAATGAATAGAAGTCAAGAAGAGAGTCATAATGTGGCTTCAATGCCAACTCGGAACTCTTTTGGTTCCAATCTCTTGCATTCAGATGCTTTTGAGATTCCACAAGTGGAATTTGAGAATTTAGAGCTCAACCAACAAATTTTGTCTTCACCAGCGCTTCTTGACATTCCTGCAAAAACTATGCTTAAACGAGTTGTTGGTCCATCCCATGGTTATGGCCTTATGTTCCCAATAGCACATCCTCCTAAGCGTCTTCGGGAAAGTGTCAGCAGTTATCTCTCAATGCCCAACCAATTGACTGAATATGCTTACAAGAAAAGATATGATGAGCCCTACAAGTTATCTTCTCCATATGATTCTGATCTCAGTACCAATGACCTGTCATCATTTGGTATTCCTCCTGGCAGCAATGCCCTTCTAGATAGCAATTTCTCTCCTCCTGAGCCCATGTCTGGGCCTATCAAGTTGGAGCTCCCTTCATACCAATATTCAGATATTCAACAAGATAGCTGGGGCAACCCTGCAGTCCCACTACCTTTGGTTGAGTCTGTTGATACTGTGATCCAGTCCCCTTCAATGGAGCGGGTTAAGTCAGATTGTTTTACATCTCAAAACACTGGTCTCTTGGAAGCAGTACTTTACGAGTCACAGAAACTTAACAGCTCAAAGGATGATTCATTTCAGCAGTCTTCTTCTACTTCGATGCTTGATGATGTCGCCAATTTTCCCCTAAAGCATTGTGAGATAGAACTTGAAGCACATTGTGACCCAAATTCTCCTTTAGCTCATTCTGCTACATCAGTTCTTAGTGAGTACACTCCTGTTGGTGGAAGCTCATCAGATGAACCACAATTTGTTGAGAGCATTCTGAGTGAGAAATATTTTGCACCCAATGAATTTTGTGGCATGAATTAGTATTTTATGTTTATATAATTCTTTGTGATTCATGCAGGATGTAAAGGCAAGAAAGAAATTCCGAACCAGATGGCTGATTCCAGGCTAGATGATTTTCTCGAACCTGGTCAGTTTGGTCACGAAAATAGGTGTGTGAGGGATAAACCCATTGTGATAGATGCTATAGCGGCTCTTCTTGGTGAAGATACTGGCTGTGGCTACTAGCAAAATCTTCTTGTGTATGAGGTACTTTGTATGTTCAGCAATCTTCTGAAAATCGTTGAAAGTACTTGGAACTTGAATTGCCATCACAATCTCTTGCCTTTGGTAGGTGAAATTTTTATTGAAGATTTGCTCATTTTGTGAACTACTGGAGGAGGAGTTGATTAGTATTTTTTTTTTTTTTTTTACGAAACTACATGAAGTCATTTAACTTTTTGCTATCTTGTGCTGACATTTGAAGCAGATGAAAGCCCTAGGACTAGGTACGTTAATAGTACTCAGAACTAGAGGCTGATGTTCTAATGCGCTCACCAGAGAATCATGACACTTGTTGGTAGACCAATTGGATAGTAAACATTTATGTGGATCAACAACTTAGATACCCGACTGTAACATGAATGATTTGATCTGGCTTGTCATGGTACGACCCAATACAAATCGACTTCCAAAAACCTATATGGATGGCAAAACCAAAAAAATGACCTAAATAAATTTTTTAAAAAAGTAAATCTTTTAACAAAATTTTAATGAAAAAGGATGGATTTTGCCTTATATTTCAACGCAAGTAGTGAACTGTTAAATCCAAGGCTGATTTAGTGAAGTACAAATCAAAGAAAAAATATTTGAGAAAAAAATCATTAATTTCTAATATATTTCTTCAAGGTGTGCATACAAGAGAAGTTTCTAGACCTTTACAGTTTTCATTTGCATGAGCGGCAAGTTTCTCGACCTTTAAAGTTTTATTTGTGTGAGCGATCAGATTAATTCCGATAAAATTAAAAACAACAATTAGATTTGTTCCTGAATAGCTGTGGTAATGCTACTTTCTAGGGATTGGACTAGGCAATAAAATACGCCCTCTCTTTATTATACTATTTATATTATAGAAGGAGATTTCCAGAAAGAAAGAAGAGACTTATTTGCTCATACACCCTTTGCTTGGGTAGCCTATACTTTGCAAGCCGGAATGGTACTAGTTGGCTGTGTCTTCATATATGTAATTTATGAGGTATGATCTTTCACACCGGGAATCCGAGTTCTCTTCTACCGGCTCTGTTTCGTCCTCGGTAGAGCATTACCTTATCTTTATGGAGGAGACCTGGTGCCTATTTCTATTACATAAGTATAGTCATTTCATGTTATCATGTTCGCCCGTGGGAAGCAGAGTCAACCAACCCACACTGGATGCGGAGTTATATTCTATTTCCTACCTCTGAAAGCAAAGAAAGATATCAGATTAATTCGGATAAAATTGAAAACATAATTAGATATTGTAATGATAAAATTAAAATTAATGATAAGTTATATATATGAATGTAATTATAAATAAAATATAATAAAAAATCATTAAATATATTAAATTAAAATTTTTTAAAATAAAAAATTAAATTGTTTGATATCATTTTATTTAAAATAATTTTGTTAATAAATAGTTAAATTTATTAAAATTTATTACAATATATTAAAATAATTTTTTAAATAATTAAAAATAATATATTTATTTAAATTCATAACAATCTAAATGATGATAATTATTTTTTATATTAAAAGATTAATTATTTGTATTCAAAATAAAATTTAAAAAATAATAAAATTGGAAGTGGCGAGAAATGGGAAAAAAACAAAAAAGAAATGGACAAGAATAGGCTAAATAGATTTTAATTGCTACATAGAATATTAAAAAAAAAAATTTGGGCTGGTTTGGAAAGTTAGGGTCCAATCGAGTGAAGCTTAAGAAGCGGTCAAATTTTAGAAATACGGCACGGTGAAGATTCATTTCTGCTGTGCCATCCATGTAAGCCAAATGCATATTTTTGCATTATACGGTACAATTGGCACAATTTGCCACGGTAAATGCAGCTCCAGTTAAATCAAAATGCAGGCTTAGTCTATGTTGATGTCTTAAGGATGCCTAAAAAGATACAGTTAAAAGACAACAGAAAATTCATGGTTTACAGAATCCATGGTCCCATACAAAACTCTGCTGATCTTATCTGATATGATCATAGAAAGACCTTTTTTAATCAGCAATGACTCCAAACATAAGATGACTCTGTCACCCATAATTATTAATCAGCATCCATTTCTTCCAACGCAGCCCTAGCTGCAACCTTGGCTTCCTCTAAAAGGTCATCAGGAACCTGAAATCTCGTGAAATTGAAAAAAGAAAACTCAGATGGAAGTACATATAAGATAATCCTGTCAAAGTGAAAAACTAACCATTCATAGCTACAAATTCCACAGATCAATTCCACCAAAAATTCAGATTCCATCACATGAAACAAGCATGAGGGAAATCAAATTATGCATGAGATATAAAAGTGGATAAGGTCATGGAACTGACACTACTTGTTTCTTTCAAGATAGCACAAAGGAACAGAAAATTACTTCACATGTTAAGTTAATAGTTTATTATTAGAGCTGGAAGCATTTGAGAAAAAATGAAGCTAGCAACAATGGAGGAAAAAAATGATAGAGAAACATTTAACATGGTTTCACATGTGAAACAAAGGTTTATCAATGTTCATGTAAGATGTTAGTAAAATGGGAAGATGCCCATGTCAAAAGAAACCAAAATGAACGTGGGTGAAAACTACCAAGAGGATTCTCTTAGACTGAATTGAACTTTACTCAGACATAAAATCCTAAATATAGTACAATGGCATAATTGAATTCAAATAGCCAACCACATGTAATTGCTGCTTGCTGTTGTAGCTAACAAGAAGCAGAAAGTGATGCATATCTTAAATGGGCATCGGAAATTACCTTTTGATGTTGTTGCTTTGACTCATCACAGACCCAACTCATCTCAAGTTCAAAGGCCTTGTCCTTTGCTTCATCATGTACCTTGTAGATGCTGCTTAACAATAACTCACATGAAGAAATCAAGTACATGCATCAAAGACTTGCATTCTCAAAGAAGGTAAAATGATATCATGCATTCACATGAATTGTACATGCAAACATTTATGATTTGACTATCTGCTTGAATGCGTATACATTTCTTTTCTTAAGTCTTGGTGGTTGGTTATTTCCCAGCTACATTCTGGTAAATATATCATATATTGTGCGCAACTACCATGGTTGTCATTGTGCTAAACCAGACATTTCACAAAATAAATAAATAAATAAAATAATTGAAAATATATTGAGCATATTGTCTAGATTTCCACTTATTGCCAGAACAAAAAAGAATTATTAACATTCAAAACAATGATACAGGCAATAATCTAAAAGACAAAAAAGGAAACTAAAAAAAAATACATAATTTCAATGAACCACCAATAAATGCAGCAGACTCCAAAATAAGTACATAACAACAGAAACAACAAGAAATTAAGATAACTCACATTTTGGCTACTTCAATAACCCCATCCCTGCAAGTCATTTCTGACAGCTTCAACTTTTCAATTTCTCTGTCCACATAGACCATTCAACCATAAGCTTAATAGTTGTTTAGTATTAGTTATTAATGAGATGAATGTATGGAGGAAGAGATAAACCAAAGATTACTACAAGCGTTGAGATCATAATAAAGGTTTCAATTTCTTTAGATATTTCAAAGGACATAGCCAATAATCAAACAGAAAGGAGCAATGAATTTAAGTAGCCAACGCAACACGTTTAGTGTCAAGCTGAGTTGACTTGACTTTTGAGTACTCAAGGACAAATGACAACGTGACAAGTGAAAAAAAACATGGAGGACCCATCGTTTCATTGTCTTACTTGCATACATCTACTTCAAATTACATCCTTTCTTTTTCTTCTTCTATATTTCTTTTAATGCAAGTTTGGAACTAAGGCAACTTGCATGGACTCAATTGAGAAAAATCTTTTTATGACTTGAAAGGATGCCATGAAAACCTTACAATTAGGACCCAGAAAAGAAAGAAAAATGAAAAAAAAGCCCATCAAAAGGCTTTTCAATTGGATTTAAAAAGCATGAAAGCATTACATTATCTTGCAATAGTTGACAAGGCAAAAACAAATGTCCACAACATAAAATGCTCCAATCATCTCATCTAACTACCAAGCATGACCATATGATTTTATCAAATGTCTTCCAGCAAGTTTCACAGGATCAAAGAAATAGTTTTATAACTTACGTTTTGGCAGCTTGTTTTCCCTTCCCCATTGCAGCACCAAAGTATCTCTATATAAATTTTAACATACAACAAGGCAAAGAAGGAAATACATTACCCACTAGTGAAAAATATAAATATACCAGTAGACTTAGTAACGGCAAAGAAGGAGAAAATGCAGCCCTAATTGGGAGAAATGAACTTACATAGGAGATGCCAGATGGTTCAACCATATATAATTGGGGTCCATCTCTATCATAACCTCCGAGTATTACCCCACACCCAAAGGGCCTGAGCCACCAGTAGAGGGTACATAAATGTACATAACTTGCGATGCGTTCAGCAAGTTCTTTGACAGGAATGGGCTCACCGTACACACTACACCATCACCAACAAATGAAACTTACAATTACATGGGCATATAACAATACAATCAAAGCTGAATTTTTGGAATTGAATGTAAAGAAAAAAATTAAAAAAAAAAAAGGAAAACCTTTCATAATTAGTAGCTTCAGATTTAGCACGTGCCACAATTTGCCTGCCATCAGCTGCTAATCCAGCCACTGCCTGAATTATAGTATTCAATATCAGAGAAAGAGAAATAGAGAGTAAGAATCCAAATGCAGCATTGGAAATGTTGCTAAAATAAAAGAAGAAAATATTCATTTTCTACGATTACCATGCCAGAATGACGATGAACAGAGTGGATTCTACGATTAGAACCAGTTAACATCATTTTTGATGCTATCAGCTTCTCCACCCCCTAAAATAAAATAAAATAAGAAAAAATCATTTTAGTATACAAATAATATATATATATATATATATATATATTTAGTAACCAATGGAAGATGAAGAAAAGGGATTACCATCACGATCCCATCTTTGCATTTTATTCCAATTACAGTTCTGCAAAAAAGAAAAGATTTTTGAGCATCTAAAAATATAAAAGAACTATAGTATGTATAAATATTAAAAGAGAAAGAAGAACGGACCCACTGTTGTCGACGGCTTTGGCAGCATACTCGATCTGGAAAACACGGCCATCGGGAGAGAAAGTGGTAACCGAGAGGTCGTAGCCTGTTCCGATGCTGCTCATCTTTCTTCCTTGCTTTTCCCCTACTCAACACTTTGCGGTTTGCTCCTCCTCCCTTCCCTCCGGAACTTCAATTATATCTTCCTTCGTGTCTTCTGTTTTTTTTTCTTTACTCAAGACTTCACGCCGATGGGCCTCATTGGGCCTTCCAATTTCTCCCTCCGCCCTCAACTTCTCTCCCTAAGTCCCAAGTCAACTAAATTGTGGTCTAAGTCTTGGATCGGGCTTTAACTTTTCGCATATATGTTTGATAATTCGTATTTATATTTTTTTTTATAAGTTAAAGAGAATAAAAAGTCTCTTAATTATAATTAAAAATTATTAAAATTTTATTTTTTATTATAATAATCAATTTTTTAATATTTAATTAAATTTTTATTTAACCTAAAAAATTAATATCGTTAATTTTTTATTAATTAAAATAAAACTTTATATCATATCAATAAAATAAATAAAAATTTATCATATAGTGTAATTAATATATGTAAAAAATAAATAAAATAATTTTTTTCATTTTTTTAAAGATTTTTTAAAAAATTCAATTGATTATAATTCAAAAATTGATTGATTTTATGTTGTCACATAATTAAATTTTATCTAATTAAAGGATTTAATTGAATTGAAATAAAAAAATAAAGAGTTTGATTTATTGTAATAAAATATTAAAAATTTAAATTAATTTTTTAATTATAATTTAGGGTATTTTTTACTCTTTAACTTTTTTATGTTAAATATATAAAATATAAAATTATTATATCAAAATTTAGGTAAGAAACATTTTTGTTTTTTACTTTGTAAAATTTATAATATGATTTTTATGGAAAGTTTAAATTATGTTATTTCTTTCATATATTTTTTATATATTACCGGATGTTCTGTCACGTGCCCTAATGAAAATGAACAGGCGATCTATTTAGATAAAAGGACAAAACAGGAACGCATGTCAGGGAAGAGTCTTTGAGAAGGTTGAGGGGTACTTTCGTAATTCAACAGAAACCATAAATCCATCTTAAACCCTACTTGCCCCCATTTTTCATTCCCCCTTCCATTGCAGAACGAAGCTTCTAGTCCTTCTCATTCTTTACTTTTTTTTTTTCTCTTGAAAATAAATTATTTTTTTCCTCTTCGACGAACATGGCGAAGCGTTTGATTCCTTCATTTAAGCGTATTTTGGTTGAGAAAATAATCCCTCCTTCTAAAACCAACTCCGGAATCTTGCTTCCTGAGAAAACCCCCAAGGTTACAATCTTTCATTTTAATGAGCTTTGATTTTTTTTCTTTTTTTTTTGTAATTTTGGTTTTTTTTATTGTTTTAGTTGAACTCTGGAAAAGTGGTAGCAGTGGGACCAGGAGCATGGGACAGAAATGGGAAATTCATCCCAGTTAATCTGAAAGAAGGAGATACAGTTCTTTTGCCTGAATATGGAGGCATTGAAGTTAAGCTTGGTGAAAAAGAGTTAGTCTTCTTTACTTCTATATGTCATTTCGTTTTCTCATTGTTTCTCTGATTTTTTCTTTTGTTGCCCCTTCAAAATAAGTTTTTTTCTTTCCTCTCCTTGTTAAATTGATAGTATTATTTTGGTTGTTGTGCTTGAACATGTTTTGCCTAAACTAAGCTTGTTTTTGATTGTTACGTTTTGTTTTCGAAGAATTGTGTAACAATTAGAAGTTTAACTTTCACGGACAGCAAATGGGTTCACCCATTTTTCTTTTGGTAATTGAAGTTTTTTGGGAACTGAAACTAAGAGTTCGGCATTCTGCCATCAGAATTTTGAATGATGCTAATTGAATCAATTATGGATGTTGTCATACGAGGCCAATTTTGTTTGCTGTTTCACATTTTAAGGTATATTTGGTGGAATGAAAGTTAGCTTTGCGTAGAACAGAAAACGATTGCTATTCAAGCAGGACAAAGTAGTTAGTGAAATTGCTTTATCACGTTATTGACATTGCATTGTTTCCGTTGTAAAGTTGCAATTCATGTTTTACTTTCCCAGTTATGGATCTACTGCAATGCCAAAGCTTTTTCTAATTTTGGTGCAATTCACCTTATTTGTACTCCTATCCTTGTTTACTTATCTGCTTAGGAAATGTTTTCACATTATATAGTTGCAGGTGATGAATCTACATTAAAATATTTAAATAGTGGTGTTTATTGTAGTGATTTTTTTATATTTGAATATCGGAATGGGAAGGATAATGCTGCATATATGGCTGCACTGCTCCTAGGGGAAACAGAAAAAAAAAAAAAAAAGTTCTTGTTAAGTGTCAGTTTCTAGTGAAGTCTTTAGAAGTGTGTTATCGTTCTTCATGGTCATAATTCTTTTAGGAGAGTCAACTTGCATCTGACCTATCATTTTCCGAGTCTGTCAACTGGAAACCTCTGAGCCAGGTTGGTTAAGAGGTTAATATGGAAACAAGGTAATTTGGCAGTCTTGGCCCTTGGCATGATATCAAAATTTATGACCTTGATTTTTTACTCTACTTTACAACCCATGTTCTTGATAGTTAAGTCATTGATGTTGTCGTTTATAGTGTGAACTCAAACTTTTGATTCCTCAATCCCTTAAAACATCCTAAGTTGCTGGTGCAGCCATTTTTTTTTATAGCAAAATGCAGTGTGCGCTTGACGTTGACAAATTTGGTTTAACAACGAAGGAATGAGATATTGTTATTTACCAAAAGTAATTAGCCGATATCCATTTAGAAATACCAAGGTTTGTACCATCATTTGCTCTTATTTTACCAAAGTGCTGCATGGCAATGGCAATAGCATTGGCAAGGTGTTAGGTTTCCACAAACTTGCCTATGTTAAAAATCTTATCAATTTGGTCTTTTGGATTCTACAGCCATCTACCATTCATTGGCATCAGTTCATTTCAGTGTTAACATATTTTCTTAATCTACTGTTTCAGGTATCACCTATACAGAGATGACGATATCTTGGGAACACTTCATGACTGATTTGGAACATTGCCCTATGATTACTTATAATGTGTCGCTGCTTTTGAAGGAACAAGTGTTTGTCTCAGACTTGTGACTTTATTACTAGTTTTATGCATGCAAGACTTTTTATTGTTTGGCATTTTGGATAAGAAATGTTTTCAAGGATCGAATTCAATCGTGATGGAATAGTTTGCTAATATCTTCCATCAATCATATATTTATACTTTTCGGGTTGATACTTATTCTTCTAAGTTTTCCATAGGCGTTGTCAAATGAACAAAATTCAAAGTTAACAATACACAAACCTGGATAACGAGAAATAAGCATGAAAATAAAGACAGCAGGAAAAATTAGTTAAATATATACAAAACACGAAAATTATTATATCATAATTTGTATTGTCATATCAAACACTAAATATATTTATTTTATCAAATTTATAAATAATTTTTGCTAAACTCTTAAATTATAATGTTTTACAATTTGTATTTTTTCATATCATATCACTATCATGTCTAAAATTATTAACAAATCTATTATCAGGTCTTGAGACTGTTACTTCAAATTCAGCGACTTCAAAGCAAAAAAGAAAAAGGAGAGCGTTCAAAACCTTTTTGAATTAATAATCTTCAATGACATGAGAATTTCCATCTATTACTACAGAATGCCATCATAATATTTGTTTTTTTTTTTGGTTCTCTGATATTATAAAAAAAAATTGGCAATCAAAAGGTTTGAGGAAGCAAACCAAGAATAAAGTGTGATGATGAGTGAGCTTATCTAGCGTCCATACCTCAAATTTTACAAGGGATAACTAAAAAAGCAAAAGGCAAAAGCCAAGAATAAGCAGTTCCTCATTTTTTTTCCATGAGGCTTTAAAGGTGCTTATGGGACAAGCAGGTATTGAAATTAAAATGTCTTAGGCTTTAACTTGAATGTCTTGGTCTCTTGAACGTAGGTTATTATGAGAATGACTATCAAATTTTATCAACTAATTTAACAAGGCACAACAAGAAGGGTTTTCATCATAAGCTTCTCCCAAAACAGAATCTTCAACTACTCCATAAACCTGATGAAAAAGAAAGAAAGAAAGAAAATAACCTAACAAGAAGCACACAACAGAAACTAGCCATGCAGGGACTATCCATCCTTCAGCAGTTTCATGAGTTTAGGAACTTCTGAGCAGCTTCAAAACTCAACCCCTCGTTCACCTGAAATTATTGAAATTTGAAATTTCATTCAATCAAATACCAATTATTGGAAATTTATGAGAAAAGGAAATCAATGGTTCTGGGACAACTATAATATGCATACAAGTTTCGTGTGAACGTGTTGAAATGCCTTGCAAAATTTGTCTGCCTCTTCTGCACCCATCTATATCAGTAAACAAGTACCCATTATTAACATTTATAAAACATTTCCAACACAAAGTTTGTCATGAAATATTAAATATACGAATTCTATCAACAGTAAACAAAAACTTACAATGACATTAGTAATTTACTATCAACAACTCAAAAAAATATTCCATAAGAAACTCAAAAACAAAAAGAAGCGACACTATGTGGAGTTGCAGGCAAGGACCATATAAGTTACAAATCTCCTTCTATGGTTGATTTGACATGTAATTGCAACACAAGTTACTACAGCCTACAGCAGAGGCAAGATTGGATTCAATTTTGATAAATATATTGCATGACATAGGCAGTGGCTGGCTATTATACATCAACAGTAATTCAAAACGCAATTTTTAGCCAGTTAATCATTCCCAAAAGGAGCATATAGAACCTTAAAAGACCTCATTATTCCGATGCATTATGAACAGTAGGATAATAAAGGTTCATGTCATACCCAATCTAATAAACAATATAAAGCATCAAAGTCAAAATGCAGATAATTACTAAGATCTAATACTTAAAAATTTGTTGATCTACTTTAAAGGAGAATACTATCCAGTAAATTCAGAAAAAAAAAAAAAAAAAAATCAAAAGCACAAGTATGCTGAAACTCTTGGTGTTTGTCATTGAACACAATATATGCTTTCCACCCTAGTTTATCTTTAAAGCACGTAAATAATCAAAATTTTTGCATGGTATAAAGTATTCAATCCATATCATCACAAAAGGATCCATGTTCCTCCAAGACTTAAAAAAAAGGTACAGGTCAATGTTGCCCAGGACAACAGCTGATAACTGGATCTCTAGATGCAGTGCCATTGAAGACAATAAAAGGTGCTTTCCACCCTCAGTTATTGTTAAAGTTCATAACTCACCTAAACTTTTAAAAAGCAAGGCATTCAATCTTTATCATCACAAAGAGGTTTGAAAATTGCCAACTGTAACTAATAGAAAGGATCTTCTTAACAGAAAAAAGGTTTAGAAGAGCAAAAGAGATGGTGTCAGAATAATGGTAGAAAGAATGTAAAGGCCCCTCAAGAATAACATTATTGGTGTTGTAAAAGCAATCTCACTACAACTGCTCATTGTCAGTTTCACAAACTTCATTGAAGTTTCACGGAACTATACATGTAATGATGAGAGACTGTTGGAAGACTTCAGGGAGCTATGCATGTGGAATTAGAGACCATGGGAAGACCACTAAGTCGAAAGAAAATCATATGGAGGAAACATCTACAATAGTTATCAATCTCATCTTTTAGTTACATTTTGGTAACTACATTCCATTTTACTTTTTGCTCCTGAACACAAAAACCCTATTGGGTTACCACTTGTTCTTTTCCCTTTTTTTTTTTTTTGTGAATTTCAGTAAGTAAAGTACAAGGTTTATTTTCAATAGAAGAAAATAACATTTTGATTCTTAAAGCACCTTGCCTCGTCAGATCCACAGTAAATCTTTCAAATTATCAGTATTAATTTTATAGTCCAGTAGTAGGTAATTTAATCAGTTACCATAGTAACTTATACATCATTTATTGCAACAAATGCCCGTTCAGAAGAGAATAAATTCAAATAAAACCTAATCCATTTGGAATATTGTGAACATTTATTTAACTTGAGGTGATTAGATTTTAACCATACCTTCCCCTCAGCTGTCAATTTTAGCTTCTGCCAGAACTTATCTGCCAAAACAAATTCATGCAAGTAAATTAAATAAAAGTTGTAAGAGTCTATTTTCAAAGAAAAAAAAGAGTGATTCTCATTATTTCCCAAAGGTTTGACATAAAATGGATCACTTGATGACAGATCAAGACTTTCATCCAAACAAATTCGCAACAGAAACATCTAACTATTCTCTTTAGCATAGATAGATATATATATATATATATATATAAACAAAGAGATATTTTATTCTGTGGACTCTGTGTGATAAGTTACCATGCAGATCAATTCCTTGATTTTCCATTTCCTTTCCTTCAACATCATGCCAAGCATCTTGCCAATCCTTAAGCTGTTCAGCAAATGACAAACATGACAAACCAGCATATAACAGATACAATTAAACAGAATACACAAAATTGATCTATTGTAGAAAAAGTAGCAGGAGGAATTAATCAGTTTCACAAAATACCGCTTTATTTGATGCTGAACGAGAAGTTGACTGTCTTGATGAATCTAACTCAGCCTGAAATTTTAAAATTAATTTCAAACAACAATGAATCTAAAATCTTTAGCATCCAAGCATTTGGCTCAGCTGGTTGATGCATGATCCTCTTATTCAAAGAGCTGGGTTTGAATCCCTCTTTCTCCAAATCAAAAATCTAAAATCTTTATATCAAAAGGAATGCAGTCATAATCCCTAATATTATTGCATGATCAACTGCTCCCAGTGATCAAAATCTAAATGTTAGATCATTAGAGGCCCCCATCAAACATTTTTCAAATGTAACCAAAATCAAACAATAATCTCAAATCCTTTCCTATTCAATAACGAGACAATGAAACATTTTACCAACAGCGAGCAACAATATTGATTAAATAATATATATATATATATATACATATATATATATATTTTTTTTTGCTCAAGTCCCACAAAATCCCATATTTAGCTCTTATAATACTCTCTCCAAATACAGGGGCATGAAACACACACAAAAGAAAACAAAAAAAAAAGCAACTTAGCATTATCCCAACACAGATCATCGACCAAATCAAAAAAAAGTATAAATCAATAAAAACAAAGATTCAAATATACCAAAACATAAGATTATAACACTTACACAAAACGAGGATCTTTCAAAACGTTTTACAACGTGAAACTAAAGAAATTCACCAAAAAAAAAAAAAAACCTTCAAATGGGTATTCCAGAAAAATGACCCTATTTCCAGGAAAAAGAAGAATCAAACAGAAGCAAAATATTGATGTCCGTGGTTAATTAAATCGAAACAAAGAAAGATTAAAGAACAGATAAATTGATAAACAAATAAATAAGCAAAAAGGCAGAACTGAAACATAGTGTATAAATAAGAATGAAAGATATTTTTTACGTGGTAGTCACGAGATCGAACAACAGGGAAGAGATCGAGAACGCGTCTAAATTCTTGTTCATCCATTTCTCAGTGGTGTTTTCAGAATTTTTTGTCACTCGCTTGGAGTCAAGTAGTAAACCAAATCGCCCTGTGAAATTAATATAATAATAATTTCTTTTTTATAATAGAATTAGAAACATAAAACAAATTTTAAGCCATTTATGATTTTTAACTGGTAATTCCTTACATATACAACCAGTTGAGTTATTTTCAAATGAAAAAAAAAAAAATACTTTGAGAAGTTAAATTAATAAATTTTAACCAAAGAAAAGTCTATGAACCAATGGTATTGCTTAAACAGGTAAAAATTGAATATTTTGTTTGTAAAGTTTAAGTTTGATTTTTACACTCCATAATTTCTTTTCCTGAATATTTATAAATTTAATATAAATTTTGGCTGATCCTAAAATAAAATAAAAGAATCTTTCTTCACCTAAATTTAAAAAAAAAATTTATTAAAATCAGAAGATTTTATAAATTTTAATCAAATCTCAAGTGAAATATCAATATAAATTTGAATTTTGAGACACATGTTCTAATAAACTTAATGCTTCGGGTATTTATTTTGAGTTAAATTTTATTTTAACATTTACAACAATTCCACAATTTTATTTGTAGTAGTGGTTGTTTTCATAAAATTTCTAAAAAGGCTTGTTGAAACATATATCATGGAATACAAGCCTGGAGACATTTTGCATAGGAATGAAGCATTTACAAATTTTGTAAAATTTTGAGCAATGCTTGAAGTGGGAACAAAGAATAGACATAAAAGAGGAGAGTGAAAGATTTCATATGCAGAATAACCAACACCAGGTTGTGAACAAATTATGCAAACAAATCATCAAGACTCAATCTCCCATCAAATTTACTGGTCGTTCCTATATTTGTCAAGCAGCTATGTAGTTGTGCTCTCTGCATACTTGAGGGCCTTGAAACTGAAAACAGCTTTAGCATACAATAATAGAACATAGGCCAACTGTGACAATTTGTCAATGCCCAAAAAAGGGCTATTCTATCAGTTTCAAATATCCAAAACTGGCATTGCCAAGGGGGTGAATCTTCTTAGATTAGATGTTTCATTCAATGGCGCTTCCTGCCACCACCACCACGGCCACCACTTTTCTTCTTTCCTTGATTCTTTTTAACACTTCCCCTTTTATTTTTTGCATTATTAACCGCATGTCCATCAAAGTCCTTGTCATTAGCAGAAGCCTTACGAAACAAATGCTTCACATCAAGTACACCATTTTTAAAATGACCTTCACTTGACTTCAGAACCCTCTCCTCAGGCCTCCGCTTGTCTGCTGATCTTTTAACACCACCACCAAGCTTCCCTCTAAATCGGCCGAGAAACATATTCTAAAGGAAAAAAAAAAGGAAATAAAAGGTTAATGAACCACAATAAATTTTGTAACAGCTAAAAGAATTATGGTCAGAAGGTGATGAAAATAAATCACCTCTTTTAGCATTTTATCTTCTCTTTCCTTTTGTTTCTTCATGACCACCCTAGCTACACTTAAGGGTAATCTCTGCTTCTTAGGTGGCTGTATCCAGGCAACTAAAAGTTAATATTATAAAATTTAAAATCTTAATCACTGTGCTTTCATCAGAGCTTGTATACCCTTTTTTTTTTTAACAGCTTAGAGATAAGGGAAGGAATTGCAGATAGTGAGATTTGAATCTTAAACTTGCGGAATGCCACCTTTTAAGGTGATTGCATGAACTAAATATGTTAAACTAAGGATTCAATTTGTATCTTTTTTGCATACAAAAGTTCTTACCTTCCACCCATAGAAACCACCTTCCTATTCTCCATCTCTTTCCTCTCCTTCCATGTCATGTACGAGGATCCTAAATCAGCAAAATATAAACAACAACAAAACCACTATATTACTACATTGCAAATGATAATCCATAATTGGGAAGGGAGGGGGAAATTGTTTAATTATAGCATGATCATTTCACACATGGAGCTATGAATATTTGATCTCAAATTAATTCGAGAAATATATGTTTCAAGTTCAATATAATTTCCAGGCAGCAGGCATAAATCCTAAACATTTTAACTATTTAAAAAATATTCCAAGAACTCGAAGCATTTCACCAAAATTTGAGGTATAAGAGCCCACACCCTAAAACTGTCCAACAAAAACCTGTTTAGCTACAGCCTACAGGTTTCACATACCCAAAACTACTACTCGGAAGCCTAAGCAGTATATAGTATTTAATATATCATTATTAAGCACAAGATGCTCAAATTTCAGAACCAATATACATATTTAGCCATTGTTGCAGTAAAGTATAAGCAGCAACAGTGGAATTTTCATTCTTATTCATGGAACCAACACGTTAGAATGCATTGAAAAGCTTTCAGCAAAATCATGTAACTTCACGGCAGAACTTTAGAAACAAAATCTACTCAATTCAAGCAAATCAGAGAATTTAAAAGAACACCAACAACAACAACAACAAAAATGAAACGAAACGAAACGAAACGGCAAAATTAGAAGGAAATAGAGGGGGATAAATACCCAGAAACTCAATATCCTTCATAATATTCCTTATGTTAAATCGGTGGTCATTCGCGGCGTCCATCTGATTTCTCATATTTGGCTTCTTCTTTGATATTTTTTAGCACTGAAAAAAAAAGATTTGTATATTGAATAGTAAAAATATCGTTTCGAAATCCTGAATTTGACAGGGGACAGTCGGTTCGGGTTTCAGAGTGGGGTTTTGCAACAGAAGAAGTAGAAGCCGCTAACGAAAAAGAACATACCAGTAGGGAGAACAAAGTGGGTCACATCTTATAGAGTATTTTGCAAATTGGCCCTTTAGCAGCTGTTGGACAGGGGTTTTGATTAATCGTTTTAGATCCACTTGAGAGTCCGATTAGAAAAGACCAGTCATTAAAAGCACTTTTCAATGTGATGAGAGCCTAATCGAATTCCCAAACGACTCTTAATCCCAAATTTGAAGGTTGTTTGCAAAAACATTTGGAACGTAATAAAATATTCTGAAATGTGTTTGGTAAAAAAAATAAAATAAAATAGAATAAAATAATGTTATAATATCATCCTATTTTATTTTTTATTTTTTATATACAAGAATTAGAATATGATAATTTTATTTAATAATTAAAATTATTTTTTAAAAAATTTTATACAATTTAAATTATTTTAAATATATATAAGTTTAATCTCATATGTTAATAATAATTCTCTTCATTTTGAGAGAATTAAATCATTTTCTGCCAAAAGAATAATTAATCTTTCTTACAATATCATTCCTTTCTTTTGATACAAACCAAATAAGATATAAAATTATTATTAACTTATCCTACCAATTATCTTATACATCAAACATTATCTTAATAACTTATAGGAATGAATTTTATTATTTAAGTTTATAGTATTTTACCTTTATAATTAAAAAAATTATTTTATTCATTTGAAAATTTTAAATTCCAAGAACAAATTTAATATTAATACTTAACAAGATTGTATACCCGTTTATTGTATATTAAAAAAATTAATATAACAAGTAATGGGAAATGTTAACAAGTGTCTTATTAGTATTAGTTTTTGAAAAAATTTTAAAAAAATTTCATTCATAATTCAAGGTTACAAGACCTAATAATTTAAAAAATGACAAGATGACACGATGAACAAGATATGAAAAAAAAAAACACATGAAAGTAATAATTAAAAGTTTAACAATAGCTACAAATAAATTTAACAAAACTAAAAAATTGTATTGTATATTTTTGTGTCAATACAAATTATGATATACAATTTTTATATAAAATACAATATAAAACATAAATTTTAATATTTTAAATGGAACAAATACACCATCTCACTTACAATCTGCATGAACAATATGGGCAATCATGTCTAGACATTCCTCAACCCAAAACTTATCTACTGCACTAGGTAATGCATGATTTGCTAAGGTGTCTAAGGCTGTATTTATATACATAACTCAAAATAATACTAATTTTCATTATAGAAAAAGAATAGAACAGCAGGGCAAGAATTTCAAACATAAAAGAAAAACACAAACAGCTTTTCACATATTTAAATACTCAAACTAGCAGAAAATCACCACTTTTCAACTCTCAAGCAGTATAACAAGGCATTACCACATCGCACAATATAAAGCAGCATATAGATCTCTCACATCTCAGTAACACCTTCCTCCTCATCCTCATATTCGAGTTCCTCCTCAGCTGTTGCATCCTGGTACTGCTGATATTCAGATACAAGGTCATTCATGTTGCTCACAGCCTCAGTGAACTCCATTTCATCCATTCCTTCCCCAGTGTACCAGTGCAAGAAAGCCTTCCTCCTGAACATAGCTGTGAATTGCTCGCTCACTCTCCTGAACATCTCCTGAATGGAGGTTGAGTTACCAATGAAGGTAGATGAAATAGAAAGGCCCCGAGGAGGAATATCACAAACACTGGACTTCACATTGTTTGGAATCCACTCGACAAAGTATGAAGAGTTCTTGTTTTGGACATTAATCATTTACTCATCAACCTCTTTGGTGCTCATCTTGCCCCTGAACATGGCTGAGGCTGTAAGGTAGCGACCATGACGTGGGTCTGCAGCACACATCATGTTCTTAGCATCCCACATCTGCTGGGTTAGTTCTGGGACAGTTAGAGTACAATACTGCTGAGCTCCCCTTGAGGTGAGGGGAGCAAATCCAACCATAAAGAAGTGAAGACGGGGGAAAGGAATGAGGTTCACTGCAAGTTTTCGAAGGTCAGAGTTGAGCTGGCCAGGGAACCTAAGGCAGCATGTGACACCGCTCATGGTTGCAGAGATCAGATGGTTCAGATAACCAACTGTTACAATCAACAAAAGAAATTTACTTCAGCTTTAACCTTGTAGCAATGTAGCATGGGAAAGCACCCAAAGTACTTTCCAGATTAGAAAACCCAGAATTCTTAACTAATCCCTGTTTATGAGTTAAAAGAAGGAATTTAAATTGCTTTTTCTTTAAAAAAAAAAAAAACTAAAAGAATTAAGTAGACCAATTGATATGTATCAAAAGAATAGGAATACTCAGCCAAGAGCATCCTCTGTTTTTGTGCACCATATAGGAACAACTTGAGGCACACAAGATACCCAAATCAGGGGACTAATATAAGTCTCCTTTTTCCCTTCAATACCATTTGATATCATCACCTATTCCAGTAAGATGTGAGATTCCATTATCTTTTAGAATGCAAACCAGACAATAAAACTATGACTAGATTAAAACTTTAGGCACAGACTGCAAAACAATTCAACTGAAACACATTCCACAAAGTTACTCTATAAATTAGCTACTTGTCAAGTTTTGTGCTGAAATTTAATGGAACTAATACAAGATAGCACACTAACAAAATTAACTAATTTTTGTACTACAAAATTGTAGGCAATCATTTATTAGGATCAAGACAAACAATAGAAACGCACAGCTAGGAGTAGTTAACTTCAGAATCCTGAAACAGATATCATACAAAGCCTCATTGTCCAACACCATGCACTCATCAGCATTCTCAACAAGCTGATGAACAGAAAGGGTGGCATTGTATGGCTCAACCACCGTATCCGAAACTTTTGGTGATGGGAAGACAGAAAAAGTGAGCAACATTCTATCCGGGTATTCTTCTCTGATCTTTGATATCAACAAGGAGCCCATACCAGAACCAGTTCCTCCACCCAGAGAGTGGCAAACTTGAAATCCTATTCAGACAAACAAATAAATATGTAATTAAAAACCCAAAAAAAAAATTAAAGAAACAAGAAATACCCACCATAATTAAAAAAAAAAAAAAAAAAAGTGGAATCTTTAGTGTTTAAAATTTGCCTTTAACACCAAGATCTACAAAGCAACTTTCATTTGCATTGTCATTTTATCGATTGCCGAAGTTGTTTACTTTGAATATTCTAACATAATACTAATTCAATTTTGATTTTGTTTTAATTGAAGGGACATAAACCGGCCTCTAAACATCTATAAATTCAACCAACGGTGTATAATATCTAGTTATCTACAGAAATTAAATTGTCACTTAAAGCATCAATATTAAAAGGGAAAAAAGGTTAAAAAATCTAACAAAAAATTGATACCTTGGAGACAGTCACAATTCTCAGCTTCCTTTCTAACAACATCGAGAACAGCATCAATAACCTCAGCTCCTTCAGTGTACTGCCCCTTAGCCCAATTATTACCAGCTCCAGATTGCCCAAACACAAAGTTATCGGGCCTAAAGGTCTGTCCATAAGGTCCAGTTCTCACACTATCCATAGTCCCCGGCTCAAGATCCATGAGCACGGCGCGTGGACAAACTTTCCACAAGAAGCCTCATTGTAGTAAACATTCACGCGCTCCAATTGCAGATCGGAGTTTCAGGTGTAACGTCCGGCAGGGTCGATGCCGTGCTCGTCGCAGACCACTTCCCAGAACTTGGATCCGATCTGGTTCCCGCATTGCCCGCCCTGAATGTGAAGGATTTCCCTCATTTTTTAAAATTTTTAATTCCTGCGAAAGTCAATAAATGGTAAGCAAAAAATAAATTAACTTTATAAATAAGAAAAATAAAGATCTGGAGATTGGGGCTTACGGGGGGCAAGTGCGAGTGGGGAAAGATTGGAGGATCAGAGAGAGAAAGAGAGCGAGGGACGGGAAATGATCTGGGGGGAAGAGAAGAAATGAGGGTTTAATTGTGAGATCGGACGGTTGATATTGGTTCCCTCCCTTGCCGTTCTTCGATGCCGTTTGATTTTGTTTTCGGTGTATTTTTATGTTTTTTTTTTATTATTTTCGGAGGCATTTAGATTGACGGAAATGTCCTTTTTTCGAATGACTTGTTTACCCTTGAATCATGTGAATACGGGTGGTGAGTCAAGAAATTTGTCCAATTTTTTTGTTATATTGGAGTCGGATTTGTGTTTCATTTGAATGCATGCCGAGAGAATTCATATCTTGTTGTGTATATGATTTTATTTATTGAATTTAAGAAGTTCATTCATAAAATATAACTATGACGGTAATAGTTTCTTCCATCATATAATTAAAGAGATTTAAAAAACAAAAACAACAAAATAATTTTGGATAAAATCTATTTTTTTTTAGCCCAATTCAATTTAAAATTTTGTTTAATATTATTTAAAAATATATCATATTATATAGAATTCGGAATACGATATTATACATAAGGTAGAATTGATTTTCATCTAAATTGTACTTCTATTTATTTTTTGAGAAGGTAAAATTTTAATAGAGTATATTTGTTTTGTATAATCTTTTGAAAGCAAAGCTAGTAATAAAAGTGATAATTAAGTACTTTGTCCCTTTTGTATATCCATATGATACATGAACAAATATTTTTTATTTTTATGATTTATTAATATATGTATCTAATATATTAATTTCATGAGCAATAAAATATTATATGAATCCGATGAAAAATAAAAAGTGCAATGTAGTAAAAAAATTCACTACATTTTATTTTCAATTATGACCTATTTTGTTAAATGTATGTATATATATATATATATATATATTTGTTTGTTGCATCCACCATAGCCCAATAGAGACAGAGAAGGTAGGTTTGCAGTAAGGGCCACATGAAAGAGAGAGATATGGGCATGTGACCTGCCAAGTACCTATGCCTAGTTGACACTCCTCTTATCAATTCCTTCACTCGTTCTAAATTTTTGCTTAGGTTTTAGGGCAAGCATATCCCTCCACGGACCAGCCAATTTCCCAACCGATTACTTACTAGCATTTGTTGCTTCTAAATTTAGGAGTCTTATTATCAATAAATCTCACAAAAAATGGAAGAAAGAGGTAGGCATGATAATGAAGTTTATTTCAAAACAAGGTGTCGGTCCAACTCCGTTTAAAAATAAAAATGAAGAAAAATATTTTAATTTCATGATAGAATTATAAAATAACACTTTTTGTTAGGTAACTCAAATCATTAGATTCAATTTCTTTCATCTTTCTTTTTTTCTTACCAAACGAAATGTTAAAGTCGTTTAAGTTCAGTTTTTTTTTTTTTAATAGAAGGATCTAAATTGAAGTATTACGCATACTTTGTATGCATGGTGATGCAAATAGTCATCAACGAGGTTCTTGGGATCGTTTGATGTTAATGATAAAGGATCACGTTTAAAGTGAGATCACTAGTGATCTCATTTATAACAAGTCACAAAAAATAAAAATACTCTTGAATTTACCCTAAAATAGCATTACCCTTTTTTGCATAATAACCTTTAGGGTTAGAGTATTAACTCTAAACTCTAAATAGTAGTCTATCTCCTTTTAAAAGGTACTTATGAATTAGTGTTAAGCCAAAGTTAGGAATGATTTAATAATGGTATAAGCCATGTATACTGTAGATATGTATGTGCACATAGATAAAATGTACGTGTCATTGTTCTATCAAATGGAAAACAAGTTCTCCATACCTTTTTTTTTTTTTTTTACAAAAGAGCATAGATAGATCTATGGCTTAAAGTTCATGGCCACCTTCAAAGACTTGAAACAAAAAATTTGGAAGAATTTTTTTTTTTTGGATATCCTAAAAATTAAAATTTTTTGGAACATTTTTTATGTCAATAGAATTGATAAAGTCATTGTTAATTATTTGTTGAATGATTGTTTAGTTACATAAAAATATGTATTTGATACAATTAATAATGATGCAAGTATGTTTTTTTAGGATTAAATATAAAAATGATCATTAAATTTATATTTTCTGTCAATTTAGTACCTAAATAAATAAAATTGTCAAATTATTTCATGAACTTTTGTTTTATTGTAACATTGGTATTCCATTAGTCAATTTTACTAACATGACATGAACAACTAATAAGATACGAACACATGTAATAAAATGTGCAATTAATGCCACATCATCACCATTATTAAAAGAAATTTTCTAAAAACTTTCAAAAAGAAATTTCAAAATTCAAAAAAATATAAAAGTGCAATTTTTTAATTATAAAAAATTAAAAAAATTAAAATTTCAAAAAAATTATTTAAAATTAAAAAAATCTAAATAATTCTTAAAAAATGAAGGAAACTTTAAAATTTTCCAAAAGTCTCAAAGTTTAAAAAATTCAAAAATTTTTAAAAAAAATTAAAAATGAAGATTTTAATAAAAATAAAAATTTCTTAAGTGAAAAAAAACTCACAAAAACTTTAAAATAGTTGAAATAAAAAAAATTAAAACAATTTGAAAAATTTTCATACTTTTTGAATCTTAAAATTAAAAATTTTATATAAATTTTTTGAATTTTTAAATTTGTGTGGAATTTTATTAAAATTTTAAGTTTTTCTATTCTTTAGATTTTAAAAAAAATTTTAGAATGTTTTTAAAATTTTGAAATTATTTAATTTTTCAAAAATTTTAAAAAAAATTTTTAGAATTTATTTTTAAATTTTAAAAATTTTTAAATTTTTTTTTATTTTTAGTTTTAAAGTTTTTGAGATTTTATAAACTTTAAGAAAATTTAATTTTTATTACCATTTTTTGAAAATTTTATTAATTTTTTAGATTTTTTTGAATTTAAAAATTATCATAATTTTTATAATTTTTAAAAATAATTTATATTTTTAATATTTTTATAAATTTTAAATTTTCTTAATTTTTTTAAAATTTTCAAATATTTTTATAATTTTTTAGAAATTTTAAAATAATTTTTAGTATTTTTTTGAAAATTTTTCATAAGTTTTTATAATTTTTAAAATTTGATTTGAATTTTTGTTGAAATTTTAAAATTTTTAGAAATTTTCAAATTTTTTTTAATTTTTAAAAAGTTTTTTATAATTTTTAAATATATATTATTTTATATATTTTTTATTTTTAAAAAAAATTTAAAATACTTTTAGAAATTTTAAAATTTTTTAGATTTTTTTTAATTTTTTTTTATACTGATGTAACATTGATTATGCAACGTTGATTAAATTTTTTTTAGACATATTAGTATCTTATTAAATGTTAATGTCATATCAATAAAGTTGACTAACAGTGTTAGTCTCAGATACCAACATGATAATAAATTAAAAGTTCAGATATTAATCTAACAGTTTTATTGTTTTAGGTATCAAACAAATAAAAAGTATATAGTTCATGAGTCATTTTTATATTTAACCCTCTTTTTAAAATATGAGAACTTATCATGAAATATTGTAATAATATAGTAATACATCATTTTAAATTTTTATATTTATTATAAGTATGCACCTACGAAAAAATTCTTCTAGATTTATCGTTCGGAAAAATTTTTAAATTTGTTATTATAGAAGAGATTAGAGATAAAATAAAGAGACATAAATATTGAAATTTAAACTCCAAATATATTAGATAACATCTTTTAAGAGTGACTATATAAATTAATAAGTTCGAATTTCATATCAAGTTAAATTCACACTGACATTTATATGTATTCATCAATTATCATACATTAGTTATTATTTACATTATTTCGGTTTTGTTGTTCTCTTAAGCCTAAAAATCCAACAATGTTCCCGTTAGTGAAAGGAAAAAAAGAAAAGAAAAAATGCCATAGGCAAAAATGTTTGAAGATCACCATCAAAAGGGATGACCCAAAGATACTCAAATTTTAGGGGTAATTTGATTACTAATCATGACATTATTAATTAATGATATTTAATATGTTAATCTTATATATTATCATGTGATAAGGTCGGTCCATTATTTGCAATGAACATGAATGGCATGTGCCGTTGGCTGCTATAATTGAACAAACCAAAACCAATAAACAAAACTGAGGCACACGGTTTCTAAGAGGCCAACACCACTCAAAGATTCATCCCCAACAGAGCCATTTAAGAGCTATCTATCTCTATCTACAGCTACTTATATTTTGGACATACTCAATTTTGGGTCAAGCAAAAAGGATAAATTAAATAAAAATTAGGAACTAAATATTTGATTTAATGATATATATACGTATTTTTTATTTAAAATACATTCATTAAATATGAAAAATAATGTAATAAGTTTTATATAATTGTAACTTCTACAATTTCTAATTGTTGGATAACCAAATTTATAATTTACTTTTACATAAAATTATATTATATTTGAATCAATAATTTGATCATTCGATTTTTTTTATATTTAAAATTATCACCATTTAAATCATAATTACTGAAATTAAAAATTCAGATATTTTATTAATAGATTATGCGATTTTGGGTTAATTATCGATAATAAATACATTTTTCCCTTATATTTGTAGAGATATATATAAATGTAATCGATATGATTAGACGAAAAACTTTGTTTATTATGTGATTTGAATTTACATTAATATAAAAAAGGTATCTTTTTATCTTTGTGGGAACATTGATCCTCCAATAATTGTCACAAAGATCCATTAAACAATTTCATAACATTAGTTTTAAGATTACGAAGATGCATCTAAAGCGAAAAGATGCAATAGGAAAGAGCAATTAGAAAGGACATTTCAAGCGGTGTCTTTTGTTCTCTTTTCTTTTTTTTTTACTGAAAGGAGATGACGAAAAACATTTAAAAAATTTACATATAGAGATTAGTTTATTAGAATATAAGACAACCCACACATCAATGTGGTCCCTGGCGACGGGTAGAGCGTCTGACTCCAGTTCAGAAGGTGCGTGGTCGATTCACATCGGGTTCAATATTCCGATCTTATACGGATCTCTTTTTGCGTCTTTTCTGTTGGTTTTGATGCGATTTTGGGTTGGATCATGTCAACCCTAAATTTAGATCTGTCCACAAGTAATTGGGCCACAAAAGAGGATTTTTGAGTTGGATCATGGAGACCCAAACCTAAAAAAGAAGCTTGACTGACGCCTAAAAACCCTAGAGTCTAAAAATCGATATATTTGTTAGATTATTAGATTTGCACAAACCCTAACATCGCCTTTAGCTCTGCCGTATCCGATCCACAGTTCTAGGTATGCCCTCCGCTACTTTTTCTGGCAAACCGAATCCCTTTTAGTTTCTTTGCTGAAAACTGTAAGAACGGAACAACATTTCTTTGCAAAAACCTGTATTTTCATTGGTTATTTGCTGTTGAGGATCCAAGATTTTTGTGGGGTGTTCACTTATAACACATGTAAAACACTTTCTACGATTTATCGACTTTATACATGAAAATGGTATTCAAAAGAAAATTTTGGGGTGTCCAGCACAAGATTTTCTTTAAATTTTTTTTTTGTTTTTCAATTTTTGGGATGTCCATGGCACCCCACGATACCATGTAAATCCTCCACTGGTTATTTGTGATTTTCTTAAATTTTATTAATGATTTATTCGTACATGCATTGATTTTGGTTTATCAGTCCTTGAAATGACATGGTACAGGCTCAGTTTCCATTTTTGTAAAAATAATTGCCTATTAGAAAAAATGTGTCCTTCTTCTTACTTAGATTTCCTAGTTTTTATTCAGTAATAAGCTTGATTAATATAACCCATTTGATTGTTTCACTCTTTTGTGTTTATATTTTTCTTCTAGGACTGTTAGATATGTAGAATTTGTTTCCTGATTGGTTTTGTTTGATATAATTTTGACAAGAGATGGGTGAGGAAGTTAAGGCTCTGATTCCTGAGTCACTCTTGAAGAAGAAGAAGAGGAATGAAGAGTGGGAGCTTGCCAAAAAGCAAGAGCTTTTAGCTGCAAAGAAGAAGAGAGTCGAGAACCGCAAGCTGATTTACGCTAGGGCTAAGCAATATGCAAAGGAGTATGAGGCTCAGGTAAGTCTTCTGTTCTTTTTGGATTTATGTAAATTTGTTTTTTTATCAAATCCAAAAATCATTTGAATTGTATTATGTGGTTTGTAACTGTCAGGAAAAAGAGTTGATTCAATTGAAGCGGGAGGCGAAGTTGAAAGGAGGATTCTATGTCGATCCTGAAGCTAAGCTTTTGTTTATTATTCGAATTCGTGGGTATGTATTTATTATGACATTTCATTGGTTTATGAATCTAAATTCTAAATGGTAACATATTGTGAATGTTTGTTTGCAGTATCAATGCCATGCATCCAAGGACAAGAAAGATTCTGCAGCTCTTGCGGTTGAGACAGGTAGCTTACCAAATATTTTCGAAAACTAAGAGCAATATGGGTAATGAGAATCAATTCCCTACTTTTCCTTGTATGTATGTTGTGTGTTAATGAAGTGAATTTCCCGTTGAGTGGTCAGATGTGTGTTAAGATATCTGGTTGAAATAACCTTGCTCTTTTGATATTTTAATGTCAATATTCATATGCTTGTGTTTGAGAAAAAAAATTTTTTTGGTCTAAAATTAGATTAGAGTGTGTAGCTTGTATGGTTTAAAGTTGTTGAAACTTGGTCATCTTGTCATTTTGATAGTGTAACTCAAAATTGAAGTTAGTGTGGTAGTGGTTGTGAACTTATTGTCAAACTTGCATGTTTTGGTATGATGCTGCTTTGTCATGTGGGTCTTTCTTTCTAACACTCTAGGGAGAACTTTTTGATATTTTCTTCTAATAAATAAATAAAATTTGAATCCATTGCAGATTTTCAATGGTGTTTTTCTTAAAGTGAATAAGGCAACAATGAACATGCTTCACCTGGTTGAACCTTATGTGACTTACGGGTATCTTTTGCCTTTCCTGCTTCCTAGCTTTCTCTTTTAATAGTTTTATATGCTTGCCATGTCTTATTTCTCAGTCATGAATGCTTCTAGATACCCTAATCTCAAGAGTGTGAGGGAATTGATTTACAAAAGAGGTTATGGGAAGTTGAACAAGCAGAGAGTTGCTTTGACTGGCAATGAAATCGTTGAGCAGGTCTGTATCTTTTTGCATTTACAGAGTTTCATGTTGGTGCTGAACATTTACTAAGCATAGTTGTTTTTTAACGGGTCGCAGGCTTTGGGCAAGTTAGGTATCATCTGTGTGGAAGATCTCATCCATGAGATAATGACTGTGGGACCTCATTTTAAGGAGGCCAACAACTTCCTCTGGCCCTTTAAGCTCAAGGCACCATTGGGTGGTCTGAAGAAGAAGAGAAACCACTATGTTGAAGGTGGAGATGCTGGCAACCGCGAGAATTACATCAATGAGCTAATTAGGAGAATGAATTAAAGTTGGTCTATTTGTTAATTTAGTGGTTTGATTTCGTATATCTGGAAGGCTCCTGATTTTAATTTCTTTTGGAAGTTAGAAACAGTTTTCTTAAAAGCTTGGAAATTTCCTTGGTGCAACCATTATCCAACTTCGTGACTGAACTTTCTGGAAGTTATTTCTCTAGAAATTTTCTTTGCATGGGACAACATAGTGGTCTTCGGAAAACATCCCAGAGTTACATCAACTGTTCATTGCCAAGTGATGCATTACATGGATTTTGGGCTTTGGACAGCTCAGGTGCTAAAGAATTAGTGAAAAATATGAGAGTTATATTCGTTGGTTATTCGCAAATCGATGGAACATTTGATCTCCATCTTTTATTTCAAGATTCAACCAATTCTCAGGGTTGGTTCACAAGCCAGGTCAAACATTTATGCTCAGACTTCTGGCAACCTAAATACTGTTTTTCAATCATTTCTTCAAATTTGAACTTTAGTTAGGTAAACTTATTTAACTTTTAAATTAAATTGAATGATATGAGATAACTAATTTCTAAATTATTTCAGACTTGGACACAATTGTAAAGTTTAATCATTAAATTAGTATTTCACGACGGTTTGAATTTTAAGAAGTTTTGGTGCACCTCAAAAATCATTTTGTTTATATATTAAAAAAAATCACACGCACGTCTAGGCGGTCAGGCGACGTTAAATAAATGTTTGTTCGTTTGGTACTCTACTTTTAGCTTTCTTCCATTAAATTTGTTGTAGCTGATTATCAAATCAACTAGTATATATTTGACTCTCACATCTCTCATTTAATGTGATCGACATTCAAGGCAGTTATCCACCAAGATTACTTATCTAATTATCCCATCAATAAATAATTTCAGAATAAATCAATTAATCTAAAATTATTAAATGCCAACAACTCACAATCTGCTTAAACTCCCATCAACTCTGTTAAACTCTTCATTAGTTATCAATTACTCATGATCCATTGTCATGTATGCATCATATATAAAGTAATACATATATAAATATATACTAAAATTGATCATTCTAATAAAATTTATCTAAATTTTGACTGAAAAGTAACATAGTTGTCATATCATGGATTACTAACTAAACTCATATAATTTTATAAAAGGTTATTAAACTTTTAACCAATTCTCAAATAAGTTACTGAACTTTAATTTATCATTACAAGATCACTAAAAATTGTTAAATGTATTAAATTTGGTTAATTTAATAAATTTCATTCAAAATTAAATTTTGATAAAATCTAAATATTCAAGTCAACTAATTAAAATCCAGATTTTTTATGTAACTAAAAATCCTATCATACTCCATAGAAAATCAAAAGAAAAAAAAAATTAAGTAATCCTAAAGTAGATAGACTTTAATGAATATTTATGTTTTTAAATTTAAACAAAAATTAATTAAAGTTTAGTAATCTATTTGAAAATTGGTTGAAAATTTAATAATTTTTCATAAAATTATATGAGTTTAATTAGTTAATATGACAGATGATATGGCCAACGATATGGCAGCAATGTTATTTTTTTGCCAAAATTTGGATAAAATTTATTAAGGTGATCAATTTTTTTATACTTAATATACTTTATTGACATAATTGAAACAAATTAAAGTTCTATAACTTAAAGGGATTTGGGTATAAATTCAGTGATTAATCGTGAAATTTATTCTAAATAATAATATTGAATTTTACAAGTATTGACAATAATTAGCAAAAGTGAAATAAAAATTAATATATATGGTTAATGTATAAAACAAACTCTAACTATAAATAGTTTCATTATAACAAAGTTATAAATGCCATTTTTGTTGGAGGCATTTAGTGATCCAAAGAGTATAGTAATCTTTTTTCTTATTAGGAGTCCCTAGTAGACAGCTTGGGGTAATTCGAACATTTGTACTGACCTGACATGTCAGATAAATCTGATACGTTCAGTTTCACATTAGCTCGGTCATGTCATTATTGTCTTCCATTGGTTATTTGCTTTTTATCTATAAATATAGACATTCAGGCATTATCATCCCAAGTTTCATCTTGTCTTAACCTTATGCTTTTCTCTCATTCCGACCTTTCTTATTTTGATCTTTAACTTATGTGTATGAGTGCAAATGAAGGAAATATTCACTGCCTTTGCATCTAATTGCTCTTTTCTAGTTTCTGTTCTTCTGGGAGTATCCTCACATCGAAGTTGGGTGCCAACATTTGGCGCACCAAATATGGGCCTTTTTATTCATTAGTTGAGCACAAAACAATACCACATAGGAAGAGAATTTTGGAGGAAAGAGAGACCGTCGTCTCAGCAAGAACAAAAACACATAATAACTAACATTTAGATCAACCTGCACCATAACAAGCTGGTCTAACCATGAAACAATTTCAAGCTTTGACCAAGCAGATATAAGTTTTTAAATAGATGTTACAAACTATAACCCCATCGTAGGCCTCAAAAGTACTTGATCTAGTCACCTTTGGTCAATAAGCTGTGGAGAGGCAACCAAGCTACAAAGAGGTGAAAGCCTCATTGGCTTCAAAAGTAAAAAAGCATAATACCTTAGCTCACTATTACCCCAAATCACAACTTAACACACATCACGACTCAAAAATCAAAATAAACCAAGCCAAAACCCCGATCAAACAAAGACTTAAAAGCTCGAATGTAAGCCATAAAGAAAAAATTAAAGGCAAAAGTGGTGGCTTTTGAGGACGAGCTTAAATTTTTTGAAACATTGCCTTTTATAGAGTGGATTGACAGAGCTATGCCTCCAAAGGGGTTCAAAATGTCAATCTTAGAAACTTATGATGATACTTCTGACCTCTTCAATCATTTGAAATTCTATAAAACTAATATGATAATACAAAATACGGATGAAGCTTTGATGTGTAAGGGCATTGCCACTTCCCTCAAGGGCACAACTCGATCCTGGTATAACAATCTAAAAGTAAGGTTAATCACAACATTTAAAGAGATCAGGCACCCTTTCTATCCCAATTAGTGAGTAACCAAAAAATAAAAAAGACGGTGTTAAGCTTAATGTCAATCCAACAAGGTCATATTGAATTTCTGACAAACTACGTCATGCATTTTAATGCAAAAGTTTTATAGGTAAAAGACCTAAAATAAATGGTTGTTGAAGTTACCCTAATAAGTGGATTCAACAACAAAGAATACCACCTAAGTTGACTTTGTTATTAGAGTGACTTAAGACTTTGGCCGATGTCTTACTTGTAACTAAAAAATATATAAATGCTGAAGCTACAATGAGAAATAGCTAAGGTAAAAGGCTTATTCCCCTTCTTCGATGGTTGAGATGAGAGAGGCTCATCCTCTCTCATCGATTGTAAAAAATATAAAGATTTCTATGATCTTCCCAAGAGGGAGACAACATAGGTCCATTAGCCTTAGTGAAAAAAAAAACTATATGGCATTAACTATCACTCGAGAGAGAATTTTAATGCAAATTGAGAGGAATCCAGAGCTTAGATAACTGAAGCCATTTAGGCAAAATACAAGAAAGGATCCAACCAAAAGATATGCCTTTTATAGGGACATAAGCCATAACACAAAGAACTATGTCAGCCTGAAAAATGAAATTGAACTTGATTAGAAAATATCAGCTGAAGATGTTTATAGACTAATGAAGACAAGGATAGACTAGATCGAATTACAGATGGGCTTCGAAGAGAGCCTATGTGAGACAGAAAAGGTAAACCAGAAGAAAATAAAAAAAAACCCCAAAAAATGAGTTAAGACAGAAAAAAGATCGAACTACTAGCAATAACAGGCCAATTACTAGAGTGATCAATGTAATTATTGAAGGAAGCTTAACTTCGGCTAAAAGAAAATCTAACCCAGGTATGATAATGGTCGTTGGCTCAATTTTCCCATCGAAAAGTAAAATTTTTAACTCCTTAGGGGGTTGGAAAAGTGAGGGGAGACCAGTCCACGACATGAGGGTGTTACGTCACAATAATGAAAGAAAAGATTAAGAAGTAGACTGGTAGTTTGGTTAAGACTGAGAACATCAAAAAAGAAAGACAACCAATAAAAGTCAAAGAAAAGCAAGAAAATAGGGGCAAGAACCTACAATGTAAAACTAACCTAATAAAAATACGCTTTTAAGCCACAATGAGCTCTTAGGCCCTAATAAAAGACACCTTTTGTTTCATTTTTTCAACTCTTGAATAGATTTTAAAGGTGACCAAGCTTTTATGCGGGCATAAGTATTTACATGTCATTTGGATCGAGCTAATACGTTAGTCAAAACAAAGATTGAAATGAGAAATACATACATATTGTTTAGCTATATATTCTAATCAAGTTATCAATAACATACTAATCACTCCGTTAGGATTTATTTTCGTAAAAAAATGGTCTCGACCTAACTAAATAGAAAAAATAATTGATCAAAGACCTGACTTTGATGAAAATTGACCTGAACTAATGAAAGATCTCATTTTTATATCGTTTTGGGATAACATCCCTGATAAACATATGTAGATCGAAACTAAACTTAAGCACAAAGAATAGTTAATTCAGCTTTTGAAAAATAATATCGACCTCTTTGCTTGGACATTATTCGATATGCTTGGAATCAATATTGAGGCAATGGTCTATAAGCTATACACTAATCTCGATGTGAAACTAGTTCGATAAAAGAAGAGGAAATTTATCCTAAAAAGATAAAAAGCTATCAAGAAAGAGGTCAACATATTGTTATAAATGGGCTTTATCAATGAGGTTTACTACCCTAAATAGATAGCCAATGTGCTCATGGTCAAAAAGAATAGCAAAAAATGAATTATGTGTGTTAACTTTATCGACTTGAGTAAAACATGTCCAAAAGATAGTTTTTCTTTCTCTAGCGTAGATCAATTAATGGATGATAGAGCCCAGCATGACTTTCTTAACTTTATGGATGTTTACTCTAGTTATAACCAAATCAAGATGTTAAAGAAAGACAAGGAAAAAATGACTTTAATTATTAGAAAAAAGCCTTTAATATTCCAAATGATGCCCTTTAGGTAGAAAAACACAAGAGCGACCT